ATTTCTGGAAACGTCGTCAAGCTGCACTGAAGCCTGCCTCTGACGGCTCCTCAGTCCCCGCGTCGCATCTCTGGCAGATGACTTTGAAGTGTGATCTGATGGGTGGTTTCTCCCAGAGACCCACCTGTTGGTATCATCCTGAGTTTTGCCAAGCTGTTGCCTTTCGGTCTCTAGATACACAAAGCTGCTTCCTGCTTGGGGTCCAGATACACCGTTCCTGAAGGCTATGGTTCCAATTCAAAGGAGCGATGTTAATCCTTGTGCATATTTATTTTCATTCCTAGACCACTGGACTGAGGACAAGGCCTGGCTCGCTGCCCTCAGCTGGGTTCTCTGGAGGCAGAGGCCGTGCCAGCTTTGGGGTTATAAGATGTTCGTCAGGGGGTGCCACCTGGGAGAGGAAGGGGGTGTGGGGAGGACTGAGCAGAGCGAGAAGTGGGACCACGGTGCAGTCCCGCAGCACCTCAGCCAACCCAGCAGAGTGCTCAGGAGTGAGCAGTGCCCATCAGAGCCCTTCTGCCCTCACTCTGCCAAGTCACCGGGTATGGCTGCCCTGGGAAACGTATTACCTTGTCAAAGGTGCCCCGAGCAGCTGGCAGCTGGAGGCTGTCTGCTCGCCTCGCTTCTGCCATGTCCTCAACTCCGTCCTTATTGGGGGTCCAGGTGAGGACATCTTCCTGTCCAGTACATTCTGAATATCCAGGCAGCCACCATGAGCTGTCATTTCTTGCTCCACAAAAATCCTTCCCATCTGCCTTTATGTCTGCATCTCACCTGCTGATATCTTAATGAAGGCCCTTATCTTTTCTCTTTGGTTACTGAAAGTGTTTCTCAGCTGTTTCCTCTTACCCCATTCTGTCCTCTGCTGCGTGCTGCCAGAGAGCTTTAAATGTGCACAAATCCGGTGACCGCACTCCCTGGCTTAAGCCTCCTTCAGAGGCTCCCAGCGGTCTTCCTGGTGAAGTGTAGCACCTCGGTCCAGATGACAGTGCAGGCACTGTCCTCACTTCCCTCTCCGGCCCTATGGGTCTCCGCCACCCCCTGCTGGTTCCCACCCCAGCTTAGGTTTCCGTTGACTCGGCCCTTTTGGCAGTCTCCCGTCTGTCTTGGCTTTTGCTCAAGATGCTGCCTCTGCTGAGAAATCTCCCTGGGGTCCTCCAGCATAGGATTCGAACCCACAACTCCTGACTGCAAGCCCAGGGCTCTCTCTGCGCCTCACTAGGCTTCTTTCTGAACTACAGTCCAGAAGAGCCACCCTGCTCATCCTCCTCTTGTCTGGAATCTTTTTTATTTTTTTTAAATGAAAATTACACCTTTTATGTTTGTGAAGTTGGGGATGAAAGTGAAACTGAGTTCCCACTTAGAGCTTCCTATAAAAATTAATACTTTAAAAAAATTCTGAATGTACCGACACACTTCAGAGATATTGAGGGTTTGGTTCCAGACCCACTGCAATAAATCAAGTGTCATAATAAGGCGAGGCAAGTAGCATAATAAAACAAGTCATATTTGTTTTTGCTGGTGGTGGGTCTTGCCTCCAGTTTGTAAAAACCGGAACATCTGTGAAGCGCAGTAAAGTGAAGCACAATTAAGTGAGGAATGTCTGTAGTGGGAATGATTTCCAAATGGTGCTACTTTTCAAACACACCCAATATTTGTCCCCCAAATACTTCTCTTGGTACCTTAATTCACTTAAAAAAAAACCCTTTTTGAAAAAGAAGCAGCTGCACCAAAATGTAATGTAATGAATGAGAAAGTACGTAGGCGTGGAATTGGAGTCTGCAGTCTGTGTGACTGCGGGGAATCCACTTTCCCTGGTGGAGGGTGACTCTGCCTGTCCATCTATGCCGTGGGGACAGTGACAGGACCCTTCACAGAGGGTTGTTGTGACAGTGAAGTGAGGAAGTTCGTGCTGTGTCCTCAGCACAGTCCTGGCCCCGAAGTGCCCAGTAAATCGGAATGCTGCCTGTTAGTGTGTGTGAGCCGTGGGGACACAGTTGAGACAGTGTCCGGAGCCAGACTGCCCCAGCTCAGGGCGCTGCTGTCTTCCAGGTTTTTGCCGGCCTGGGCATTCAAAGCAGACTGGAGGTTCTCCTTGGGCCCCAACCCAGTGTTTCAGCACCTTGACCTTGGAAATCCAACAGAAGTGCAGTAAGAGTGACACACATAACCTAAAACTTTCTAGTAGACCCAGCAAGGTAAAAACAAGTAGGTGAAATTAATTTAAAAATGTATTGTATAATGTAATAAATTGAGAATATTTCAACATGTAATCCATGGGTGGCAAACACAAGGCCTGCAGGCGGAATCCACCTTGTTTTATCCGGCCTGGCACCTGGTTTCTATACAGTGGCAGCGCCGAGCTCCTTGCCCCTAGTTAAAGAGTAGCTACATGTCTACAGTCTTAAAGTTACATTCAGCCCTTTGAAGGCAACCTCGAGGCTGATGTGGCCCCTGGTGAAAATGAGTTTGACACTCCTGATGTAATTGATATAAAATTATTATTATTTAATAATTTTATTGTATTTTTCATCGCCGTTTAGTCCCCTTATACCCCCTCCCCCTGACATCTCCACACTGTTGTCCACGTCCATGAGTCCTTTTTCCTCAATCCCTTCCCCCCCGCCCCGTTAGCTATTATTTACTTTTCTATATTATCTTTGACATCTGGTGTAAATTTCCACCTATTACATCTCAGTCAGACACTGGATTTCTATTATAAATACTTGCTTTAGATTTCTTAAATTAACATTGAAAAGTAGATTTGCACACCCAAAATATTACTAATGTACTTGAAACTTTTTAGTAACTGAATTGTGTATCAGTTTTTAGACTTAAAGTGAAATAAATTGGCTTCATAGTTACTGCAGCTGCATTAAAATTGTCTTTTAAATTTATTAATTATAGAGAGAGAGGAGGTGAAAGAAAGAGAAATGTCTGTGTGAGAGAGAAACATCAGCTGGTTGCCTCTCATACGCATCCCAACTGCCAATGGACCCCACAATCTAGGCATGTGCCCTGACCAGGAATTGAACCAGCAACCTTTCAGTTGATGCGATGATGCTCCATCCAACTGACTCATGCAGCCAGGGCTCCAGCTGCATTTTAAACGCCCAGTTCTCATGCGCCTCGTGGCTACCATTATTGGATAGTGAACATTTAGAAGTCATTGCAGTGGATTCAGTCTTCTTCCTTTTCTTAACTTAACTTTTTTCAAATTCAATTATAGAAAGAAACGTATTACCTAAAATGGATAAAAACGTGTCCTGGGGGTACTTGGTTTATAATTAAAGGACATTGGTGAGCTCTTGATCCTCCATCTCCCTCTGACCCCTGCCTTCAACTTTACCCTCAGAAGTCCTGAAGCACCTTTGCCCATCCCTGGAGCCCCAGGGAATATTTAACAAGTGGTAGGTAACTTAGCACTGAGCAAATTGCTGACCACGCCTTCAGGATCATAGAGTCCCGAATCCTTGAAGCTGAGAGGAATCTTAGCATATACGCGATCCACCTCCATCTTTCCCTGTACTGTGGAAATACTTATGATAAATTCCTTGGCAGTGGCGGTGGGGGGGTACTTACCCTCTGCTAAACCCCTGGGAACAGGTGGGTCTGTTCTTTCTGTTCTGAATGACATGGTTCTCTGTGTCCTGCTCTCATCTCCTGAACTAGATGGGGGTGGGGGGAGCGGCAAGGACTGCCTTTTATAGCACCACAGCACCTACACAAAGCAAGACAGTCAATACATTCTTAACTGAAGCCTGACTGACTGCAGGAATTCAGGGTCATCTGAAACATCAGGGTCATTGCATTGCACAACTCCAAAGCACACCATTCACATTGTACTATATGGTTGTGCAAGCAGCAGCCTTGTAAAATTAGACTGGACTTTATTGTCCAACTGAGAAAGTCTTAAGACATTCTTCATTGGAGCAAAGTTATTGTCTTCCTTCTTCTCTGATGGAAAGCAACTACACGAGCAAATGTTCTCAACTTTCTTAGGAATTTATGCCACCAGGAAGTGTGAGGGATGTGTGGCCTGTGCGTATGCGAGGTGTGCTGGGAGCCCTGCTCTCTCAGGAGGAAATACTTTGTCCATTTCAGTCTAGCCTTCAGGAGGCCACCGAGTACGTAGGAGAGAGGACCCTAAAAACCCAGAATTTATTTATAGAAATAGTGTATTTATTCTTACATGTTTAAACTTCAGTGACCTTCAAAGCACTCTCCATTTGATGCAGTGCACCTATCAAGATGGTTTTTCCACCACTCAAAACAGTTTTTGAATGCGCTGATTTGGATTCCTTTTAGTGCTTGTGCCATTTTTTGTATCACCTCTTCCACATCAGCAAAACATTTCCCTTCGAGGACTTTTTTCATCTGTGAAAATGAACAAACAAATACAAACATCACTCGGGGCCAGATCGGATGAGTAGGGAAGGTGGGGTGCAGAGGTCATGCCCTTTTTGGTCAAAAACTGCTGAACACTCCGCACCGTGTGGCAGGTGTGCTTGTAAATCACCCATCATGACACGGGCCAATGCATTGAAAGAGTCTTCAGAAAAGATTCACTGAAGCTGAATGCGGCTTCTCACAACAGCACCAGCTGGTACAGTGATACAGATGGGTTCCTACAACACTCGTCTAATGGGGGAAGCCTGTACTATAAGGGGCCTGCCCAATAAAAATCAATTTGTGGTTTTGTGGGCCCCCTCTCATCTCTTCTAGAATTTTCTATCGATGGCATGTTTCCCAGTTTGAAAGATGTCTTAGAGCTCCTTACTTTGTAAAGCACCCCAGAGCATGATCCATAAGGACCAAGAACATGTACCTGTCGTCAAAAGAGCAGCGAGACTGTTAGTGGCTGCATGGTGTCCACCTCTGTGCAGTTGATGAAACACAGGCGAAAGGCAGGGAGCAGAGGGGTCCTCTTAGGAAAACTCTATGTCTGCTTTTGTGTTTTTCAAACTGACAGGTGTTTGTTTTTTTTCCTGTCTACCCAGGAAACCAAGTGCTGCCTCCTGGAGCTCCTCTTGGAAATGGGCTTACACCAGAGGCCGCGAAAGACCTTGGCCTTCCTGCTGGGATTGCCGTGGCAGCCTCACTTATTGACGCCCATGCAGGAGGACTAGGTAATGATCTCGCACTGCATGTTCACTACCAGGGCTGTTTTCATGTGGATTATTCCCCAGAACAGAAGACACTTTTGTTTTTAGAGCCAGGATCAAGGGCTGGTGATTCAAAATACGACAATAAAAAGCCTTTTCATAGTTAGGCATTTGGCTAGAATCACAGAGCTTTTAATCAAATATAGAATTTATTTATAATTTTGTTAATTTTTTCACATAGAGGAATAGAATAAAATGATCAGAATTAATATGTTGATGGCTCTTAGGTTTACTGAAAATTTGAGATAGATATTTTAACTTCCAACTAGCAAGTATGACAACAGTATACTTACTGTGCTGTTTTTTCTAATAGTGTTCCAACACTCTCACAAGTCACATGGATTTATCTTCAGAGTGTATTCGACTTATGTCCTCTATCCACTTACTTGAGTGTGGTCTTGATTTCATCTCCTGAGTAACTCTCAAACCTAGCACTCATGTATTATATATTCGTTATATCAAAGCCCCATTGAAACCTTACTGTGTGTCAGTCGTGGTGCTAGGGGACAGTGAATTGAAACTGACATCAAGGTCCCTTCCCCAGAATTTAATGGGAGGGTAGAAAACGAGGTACAGGCTACGGTTAAGTGTGATAGCTCTCTCCTCACCTTCATCCTCATTGCATTTTGAAAAGAGGCAGTGAAGGGGGTTGTTCAGATTCTCAACATCTCTCACTGCACCTGTGGCCTTATCTTCTTATTTCTTTTAGTTCTTCTTTCTAACAGTGTTTTTTTAAATTATGGTTCAGGCCTCGTGAGATCAATTTAGTGGATCACAACCGTTGAATTTTCAGAGTAGAATGGGCCAGAGTAGAAAACAGAGCACATTTCATACAGCAAGTCCTGTTCTGTGGATTCATGTGCCCGTGTCCCCTGGGCCACAGTGAAAATGAACTTCTTACCATGGGTCAGAGTAAGACAAACTTTGAAAGATATTCTGGTCTATACTTTGTATTACAGCCAAGAGTTATCTTTTAAATACCTATGTAGAATTGTGTTCCTGAAAATCCATCTGAGCATTACACCTCTGTGTCATTGCACGCGGATTCTGCTCCAAGCGCGGCTGGTCCCCCAACTCCTGCTGTAACTTGAAGACACACACTGGGTGCTTTCTCCTCTGAAGAGCCTTCCAAGGGACACTCAGATTTCTTTCGAGATTCTCTGGGTTGTGCTTCTTTCAGCACCTTCACCTATCCCTGCTGAAGAAATGATCACATTGTTATTGCAATTACTGTTTTATCTGTTTGTTTTTCCCACTAAACTCGGAGCTCCTCGAGGACTTGTATGTCCTGTGTGGGGCCCTGCGTCTTGATTCCTGGAGGCGCTTCATCGATTTATTAAGTGAATAGAGTCACGTGAAGGCAGTGGTAAGGTGAAGTGGCCTTACCCTGTGGAGTGAAAGTTTATTCTGTTTCCTTATGTGGCGCAGTATTAAGCTGTATCTTGGTCTTCTACACAGTCCATGGATTTGTGGAGTAGGATAGCTCTCAGTGATCCATGAACATGTCTGTCTTATTCATCTCTGTGTGTTTAGGATCTGACACTGTGTCTGAGAAGTAGTGAACAGCCAATAATGCGAATTGGTTGAATGATAGATAATAGGGCTCACAGGCTGGGTGTTTCTCACCCTTTTCAGTATGAGCAGTATGTGCTTTTGATTGGAATGTCGTGGTTTTGGTTTTTAAGGGCAGGCACAGAGAGAACTTGTGATCTACACAGGTTTCTGTCCCCTGGTCATCCTGACATTCCATCGTGTTTGAGGCCAGGGAAGCTTTCGCTCTCATGTGTTCCCACTTATCCCTCGGGCGGCAGTCTCAGTCATCCACCCCCTCCAGGGAGCAAGCACTGGGCTTGAGCCACCTTAGGCTGAAAGTAAGTGGGCTGCACCTTGGGGAGCTTCAGGGCTCGATTTCCTTGCCAGTTTCCCAGACCTCCCTTCTCCCCGGGACTCACTGTGCCCTCCGGGAGGGAAGCTGCTTGCTCTCTGGCACCTGGAACTGTAGACACTCAAGAGAGTGTTGGGGGAATTGTCCTGGGAAGAGCTCAGGCCATTACATGACCCGCTCTTTTCCTAATCACTGAAAGAAATTTTATCGTTAGACGTTTTGCCTGAGGCCTTCATTCCTTTCAAAGTACAAATGCTGTTAAGTTAGTGAGTTTCCCTTATGTTTTCCAAAAGTAAGTTATTTAACTGGAAGGATAGAAGAAGGATTTGGATTCTTGAAGGGTTGTGCCTAAGGGCCAGCAGCGGCTGGGACGGGCACAGGGAAGGGATTCATGAGTGCGGGACGGGAAAGACCTACTTAACCCTCACGGCCAAGTTTTACCTTTCTTATCCGCCCTTCGACCTCCACCTCTCCCCTTCACCTCACAGTCACTTCAGGATTACACGGCTGGGTAAGAGAGGAGGCCTGGGAGTGAGCATTTACTCTCGTCCCCACTCTGCCTATGCCTGCACCAAGATATGCAGAAGAACAGAGGCCTAAAAGTCTTAAAAAGTTTTTCCACTCATCCAACCATGTGATCACTAAAGATATATATTACGCGCCTGCAGACCTGGCCATTACTGATCTGGGCACTGGGGGTTATCAGCAGTGAACACAGCAGACAAAGCCCTATTCCTTTTGGAGAGAAAATTCTGGTTGTTCTCTCCTGGCCTGCATGTTCGTAGCTCAACAGTAAGTTTCAGATGCTGTGATAAGGGCTCTGAACACGGAGTCTGAATATTTGCATGTAAATCCCTGTTCTCCCTACCTGTGTACCTTGGGCCAGATATCATACCTCGTCACACTTCTGTTTCCTCTTCTGCAATAAGAGAGAGAAGCCCCCCCCCCAACAGGGTTGTTATGAAACTAATGGTATAAGTAGATAAAGCAGCTGGCATTGCATCTGGCGCATAGTTGGCATGCAATACTGAGGTATCTCTTTAGTTTTCTTACTAAATGCCTGGCACAAAGTAGGGGCTTTATAAATGGAAGTTCTCTGAGTTACTGCCCTAGGAAGAAGGGTACCAGGAGAGCTATCTTCCCTTTGGAGAGGCATTTGGAAAAGAACCTCAGACTTCCTGATTCTGTCTGATTTCCCCGAATCGGGCCCAGTTGTCCATTCCTGGCTCAGGGTAACAGAACGCAGTGTTCACTACTTTAAGACGCTGTGTATCTGGAGATCAGAAACAACCTCAAGAAGCGGTTAGATGAGCTCCGTGCTAAGAGATCACAGAATGTCAGGGTGAGAATCCAGCTTTGGAGGTCAGAATCGGATGCCATCCAGACCTTGCAAAAACAGGCCCTGACAGTTATGGTCCCTTCAAGTGCTGACCTGGCCTGGCCCCCACATTCTGACTGGTAGGAGGGGCCAGCGCTCTGCTTTGGAGGAATCCTCCTGGACTCTCATTCTTAAGAAAAGGCTGGGACTAGAGAATCAAGATCAAAGGAGTAAGTAAAACTCAACTCATGCTTTATCCAGTGCTGGGAAAAGAAGAGGAAGGACTTTGTGGGAATGAAAACCAAAGATAAAAGAACATTTTGCTCTTAAGGTGCTGGTTAGTAAGTTCCCTAGCAGACAGCCAGGAGATAGGAGGAGCTTTGTTTGCTCTTTGTGGGGGTGGTTCTGGCCAGGGCTCCTGCTGCTGATATTTTTCTAGCTTATAAAAATAGTGTTAATGTTGTTCCAGGTCTGTTCTTGGCTCCAGCACCCGAGCTGTCCTGAAAGGCAGTAACAACCTGGTTCCTGCCTCAGGCCTCTCTCCTCTCAGTTGTTTTTATCTACCAGGTGAACTCCTGACTATCTGTCAAATCTTGAATCTGGTACCATCTCTGGTGGGAGCCTTCTCTGGCTCCCCCAAGCTGACTGCATACTTCTTCCTGTTTGTTCCAACCGTGTCTTGGACTCGCCTCCATTACTGTGCATATTATCCAGTTTTCTGTGTGCAATATTGTCTCATTTACCAGTATGTAAACTCTTTGAGAGAAAGCATTGCCATTTCATCCTTATATCCTAGCAACCTACCCAGTGCTTTGCATATGGAGGACCTTTAACTCATGCATACTCAGTGAACAAGTGAATGAATGGCATTCCTTACACATGGGAATGATATTAACACTGAGTGTTGTAGTAACTTCTCATTACAGAGCAGACGTTCCTGTATAAGGTGCACCTGGCTCCATTCCTGCAGCAAAACAGCGTGCTTGAAGCACTCTGGTCCACTCCTAGATGTCTAGAAATCGGTATCCTTTGTGCTCCTATTACATCAGCAAGTGCTGGTCAAGAGCCAATGCTGTGCCTAGGTTTAGCATCATTCTTTGATTCCAGACACTGGATTCTTTGCCAGATGTTGAATTGGCTTAAACTGCTCATCTGGGCCAGGTATTGAATCAGCTCAAATTGCTCATCTGAGTTGCAGCATCAAATCAAAATGGAGATTTTTAATTTCTTTCTTTGTTTCTTCTTCCTTTTCTTAATTGCAGAAGAATTGGTTTAGCCAGTGCTGCAAAAGGAGTTACAGGTCCATTCCTTCCTGCAACAAAACATAGCGTGTTCCAGAGAACAATAAAACTTGCCAACTTACTGTCTGGTTGTTATCGTGCTCTAGAAGCAACACTGGTTCTCAAGGCCACGTTATATATGCTGTTATTTTGTTCCCTTTGTGAAATGAGACCGTGAAGCTCACAGAGATGACCTGCCTTGCCCAGATCCGTGCAGTAGGGGCAGATGCTTGAGTTCAGCCCATGCCACCTGATCCCAGAGTCCACACTTCTAATCTCTCTGTTCTATGTATGGAATGGCTTTTTTAAAAATTAAAATGTGACCCATTGCACTCTTAGATTTGATTCTTAAACTGTCATTTTCACAAGTAACAAATATTTAAAAAGGAAAGTCTTTCAATAAACATGAATTGATGGCCCATTTTACTGGTTGATGGGGGTGTAAGGTAGGTATGAAAGAGAGCTGGATTTCTGGGAGTTT